TATTTCATTAATGAAACATGAATGTTGTACTAAATCAGGAATATCCCATTGAAAGTAGACCACTGATGTCTTTTTTCTGGTAGTTCTTTATCCCTAAAAAATTGTAATTTTGTCTTTACTTCCCCATACTGGGATCTGTCTAATGTCCTTTAGTTTTTTGTGTTTTTTTTTTTTCTGGATTTTATATCAATCATCATCCTCTCTCAATTACAGACACAGACACTGCCTAGCTCTTTTTACCCAGTTTATTTTTTAAATTTCTGTCATTATTTTACCCATTCAAAATGTATTTTGAGAAAGAAAAGAGACAACTTTTATGTGGCAGAGTTCGTATCTTTTGTGATCCAATATGTGTGTGTGTGTGTGTGTGCGTGTGCATGTGTGCGTGTGTGTGTTCACACCAGAGGAGGAGATTGTCTCAGCTCATCACATATTTTATGTGAGAAATTGAGATTTTTTGAAAAAGTGAGTATTATTTATAAAATAAATGAGTCCCCCATTTTGAAATGTATTTGAAAAGTCTTTTATTCAAAATTTTTAAATTAACATTTGGGACCCCATATTTCTTTCGATGATAGAATTTTCTTGTGCTAATATTACCTTGTATAAATAGTTACAGGAATGAGGCTTGGCATCCTGTGATAATTCCTGATTGATAACACAAAAAATACTGTTAATATGAGCCTTACTGAATTATAATTCACTTTCTTGTCTCCAGAGTCATTCTTCAGTCCATTAATTTTTTCTTCATTCAATAAGTGCGAAGTACTCATTAAATGACTATATTAGTCACTACGGTGATTGTGATGGAGGTGAGGCTGCTTCTGTGAACCAGACATAGTTCCTGTACTCAAGAAGCTATACTTTAATTTGAGACATGGAAATTTATATAATGATGAGAGGCAGAGCAAAATAAATGCTAACAGTGCAGAGGGAGTATAGAAATGCACAGATTTGGAAATTTTCACAAATGAGAAAACATTAGAGCTGGGACATTGAGAATTTGATTCTGTGCTTTGGAGAATAGAATGAGAGAAATTTTAAAAGTTGAAAGACAGAAAATTTTAAAAGTCTAGTAGAACAATATAACAAAAGAGAGACTTTGGAAGCTATATGCGGTGCATAAAAAATTGTTAGGTGGAGATATGAATGGCTGAAATACTATTAATTTATAAGAAATCATAGTCAAAAGTATTTGAAGATAACTTTTATGTTAGTGAAGTAGAACACATTGGACAGGAGGATATAAAATATGCATGTAATCCTAAAGAAAGAAAAAGTAAAATAGATCCAGAAATGTAATTAAAGTAGTAATAAGAGTTTTGAAAATCATAATGTCATGTGGGAACCAGCTGACTCCTCTAAGTAGAAGTCCAGTGTACATGTAATGAAGATTATTTGGTTGTGTGAGATGTTAATATTATGATTGTTTTCATGGATTGAAGACTTTCTTTATTGAACACCAACACTTGGCTATACATTTTTTTTTTCATTTTCTTCCTTTTAGATAACATGAACATTGACCTTGGTGTTTGAGACAATGGATGGAATGAATCACTCCACAGTATCAGAGTTTGTGTTCCTTGGACTCACCAATTCATGGAAGATTCAGCTTCCCCTTTTTGTCTTCTCCTGTTTGTTCTACTTGGGTGGCATGATGGGAAACCTTGTCATTGTGTTCACTATAACCTTCGATGCTCATCTACACTCCTCTATGTATTTCCTCCTGGCTAACCTCTCAGTCATTGATATGTTTTTTTGCTCAATCACAGCCCCTAAAATGATTTATGACATTTTCAAGAAGCACAAAGCC